CCCCAGGACCACACACTGTGTTGTTTGCAGCTCTGATGTGATGGGGAGGGCGAGTTGCTAACGTGGAGAGACCTGGAGTGGTTATCAAATGCGTGGAATGTGGAATGACCAGATTGTACAATAGACGAGTCGCTGGAGGGAACTGAGATAAAGATGCTGGAGCAGAAGCTGTCGGCACAAACATGTGGGCTCACCTCCGAGGTTTCGGTTAAAAGGTTTCATGAGGATTAAACGGTTTTACCCAGAAGTAAATACACTTCAGAAACTGCTGATTTTAGCATGTGACTTCTGCCTAGCCTATTTCGCTAGTTTAGTTTGTTTCCTTTGTGGAGGGGAAGAATAGGAAGCAAAAGATAAATTTACGATGTCAAATTTACGTGGTTTGCCTGCATTGCCTTTCCTTTTGAGCTTGTGGCTGAATTCTCCTTTTGGTTGTAATGTAGACACTGCTTTATCTTTTCTCAGAATGTCTCTTTTAGCCTTCGAGTATCACCCCAGGCACTAATAGTCAATGCAACAAGAAAAAGGAGAACTCCATATTATCATTATCATCACCACCACCACCATCATCATCTTGGTTTCTGTTTGATTGTTTTGCTTTTCTTCCTACTTAGGGAAGCGTGTTTCAAGTTTCAAGTGTAGCTGATTCTCTCTGGGCCATGGCATAGCCCAGATTTCCTAACGAATTGCAAAAACCAATGCCTGCTTACATAAGAAATCCTCCCAGCTTTTCCCAGGCCCTATGCAGAACTGCAAGGTCTGGCATATAAAATACCTGACAGTTTTAGAGGGTTCAGGGAGAAAGTGGAAAGATGGAGTGGGAGCCCCAAATGCAGAAAGGAGGCAGGGGAGCTGACGCATTGCTTTTCTTGAAAAACAAAGATTCGGAATATAACATTTCAGTTTACTTGGTCAGCATCTGATTGAAACAGTCCACCTTCTGCTTATAAGAAGTGTGATAAGGGTGTACTGGCAGAATGGCATTCTGTAACAAGCCATTTTTAACATGCTTGCAGCATAGATGCCTTCTTGTTCATATTTCATATACAGATATGATTTGCTTGGGAAATAGCAGTTCAGAAATGCCCAAATCTTATAATACTGAGTTTCCTGAGACCAACTTGGAATTTATAGTTATGGGTTTCATTACATAGTCTTAAGATTAGACCTTGGGTTTTATGTTGTCAGAAATTTCCCTGGGGTTGGGCTACAGTTAGCAAGGTCAGGAGCTCATTTGGACTCACAAGCTATAAAAGAATCCAGACGTGATAAGTAGGTCAGAGCTGTAAGCTGTTAAAGACACGGTGATCGGATTAGCAGCCGAGAGTAACCATCTGGGACAATTTAGCCACATTAAAGTCTAGACCACATGTAGGTTTTGGAAAAAGCAGTCCTGGGTGTGTGTGGTAGAGAAAAGACTATTAAAAGAATGGAAGAGCACCCGCTAAAAGTGATCTATAAATGGAAAAATAATTACTTTCACAAGCAAATGGGGAGAAGATTTCAGAATCCTAGACACAGTAAGTAAGGAGGTTGGGATGCTAGGACCCATTGTTTAAATTAAACATTGAAATTGTTCCCGCTCCCCAAGCTACCTGAGTAAAGGTGAAGAGGTGAGAGTGTAGCTTTAGCTTTGTGGTAGGGCCCATCTTGGTTCCAGATGGCTCTGCTGGGTCACTGTGAGCAAGTTCCTTAAACCATCAAAGCCTCGGTTTCTCATCTGAATAGTGAGGCAAGTACCATGTACATCACACGTTTGCGACAATGACTGAGAGAAATAATGCGTGAACTGTTTCTGCAACACGTGTAGTGTTCAACAAACAGGAGCATTATTGCTATTAATACCCATTACCAGTGTCCACCACTTTAGTCTTCTCAGAAAACAATCACATCTGATACTACATACTCATTTTGAGGAGGAATAGTGTTGCACGGATTGTGCAGGTTTGCAGCATCCACATTTTACTGATGATAAAATGGGGCTCAATGGTTAGTCCAAAGGTCACCAAGCTGGTGGGCCATTGACCTTGGATTACAACCATAGTGGTTCTTTGAAAAAGGATCAGAATCACCTGGATGGTGATTAAAACTCAGATTGGTGGGTTCCACCCCCAAAGTTTCTAATTCAGTATATCTGGGGTGGGGCCCATGAACCTGAATTTCTTTATCAGAGCTCAGGTGACACAAGCCACTGAGCTCGACTAGAGGAATGGATCCCGAACATCCCTGCTCGTTAGAATCATCTGGAGGCTTAAAATCAATGAACTCAGAACTGTCTCAAGGCTGTGGATTTTCTACCAAAAATATGATTCAGTCTGACCAGTAGCATATAATAGTTAATTATTCCCAGTGAAAAGGATAAATCTGTAACAGCTTTGGAAATTCTAGAGTCTGGAAAGTTGTGGATTTTTTTTTTTACTGTCCTTCCCCCCTCCCGCAAATATAGTTTAATACAAAATATTTGTAAAGCCAACTATTTAGAGAAGTTCTACATTTCTGATTCCAAATTTTTTATTTTAAGATTCAAGATTTTCTATTAATGCTTGCCAGATATTCAGTTAGTGAATAATTGAGGTTACTGACCATAACTGAAGCAGTAATGTTTCCTTTATATTGTAGTGAATATTGATACTTTGAAATTCTTTTCTGAATATAGCTGGTTATGTTAGCTTTGACAAAATAGAAAATAAACCCAGCTTTAAAAATATTGTTTTTTTCTACCAAACTAATGAAATGTCTTATGATTTTTTGTCACTTAAGAAGTAATTTAGAAGTTACTTTTATAGATTTGTTCTGAACTCCATGTTAATATTTTTATAAGTTAGTTTTTTAAAAGTGCTACCTGTATAATTTATTATGAAAATACTTAGTACTTTAAAAACTATGTGCCACAGTACTTTTGTTGGTACCACCAATTAGAAATGGATAATTATCATTTCCTTTTATAATACAGGGTGGAGCAAAAGTAGATTTTATATGGAAAATAATACAGTAATTAATAATAATGTAAGAATACACTGTGTTTTGTGTACTCACGACTAAAAACCCATTCTTTCCCCACCTGGTATATTTGTTCCTAGAAAGGTAACAGTTATTAGATCATCTTTTCTTTCTTTCTTTTTTTTAAAGATTTTATTTATTTTTAGAGAGAGGGGAAAGGAAGGAGAAAGGGAGGGAAACATCAATGTGTGGTTGCCTCTCACGTGCCCCGCACTGGGGACCCGGCCTGTAACCCAGGCATGTGCTCTGACCAGGAATTGAACCAGTGACTCTGGTTCTCAGGCCAGTGCTCAATCCACTGAGCCACACCAGCCAGGGCTGGATCATCTTTTCTAACTTTCATCCATTTATTGTCAGTGCCTAGCAATAATTATATTTTATATTCAAACACTAAACCATGAATAACATATTTTGCAAAAACCTATGATAGATTGCATTAATCATATTTGGAGTTTATATAGCATCTGTAAGAAATTCCAGATACTTTGAAAATATTGTTTCATTTATTTTCACAGCAGTCTTTGTGAGGAGTAGATGGGTGACTGTCACAGCTGACGGATTCAATGAGAGAACACATGCAGTGATGAACTGAGCCCAGGGCTTGGTGCACAGCCAGCGCTCATGAAGTCAGCACCATCTCTGATACCACTACGATTGTACCATTGACTTCCTGGTAGAACCACAGGCATTACAGTTTCATTACGATGAGTACTTTTCTTACCCAATATATGAAGGCATCAATTATTGGTTGTTTGGGTCCCTTTTTCCATAGCTCGCCAAGTGGTTATCATCAGAATGTACGTAAATGGCAAGACTGTGACAGTGTTATGTTGGCATGCCAAGTCAGGAAGATGAAATACGAGGTTGTGATTACAGAAAATTTCCAGGAAAGGCACGTTAGATAATTTTGCTACAAGAAACTCAATTCTAGATCTTTTATTCTCCAACAATTTGGAAAGCTTATCTCTTAGGGTTTCAAATTTAGGGATGTCTGCCCTTTCTAGGCTAGGTTTTATTTAATCACAATGAGATTGAAGTTTCAAGATACCAGGAGATGGAGAATAATCAGGGATAGTATCTTGTTTAACTGTCATTCACTCATGATCATATATTAGTGCTAAATAGTATTCAGATGTTACTACCTACGTTGCCTGCAGCTCTTGCGGGGTTGTCCAGGACACTAGACTGGTGCGATTCCCGTTTTACAGAGGGTGGACGGAGGAGGTTGCCTGCAGCTGGGTGCTGCGGGGAGGGTGCAGCTACCAATGCGGAGTGGAGATGTTGCAACTCCTTTTACACAGCAGAAATCATGGGCCGAGGTCGACATCCAGTCACAACCGCTTCATGTCCTTTAAAGCACGTGTGATGGCACCTAGTCCCCAGATTGCTTCCCTTGTTGAAGGTGATACAGACCAAGTTTTTATTCTCCAATAGAAACACTTTTAAAAGGAAGCAAGCATACATTTCTACACAGAGACTTTTTGCAAACATCTTGTCTGCTTTTGCTGTTGCGATTTGTATGCTATTGCTTCTGCAAAGGGACGGTCACTCTTGCTGTGGCACGCTGAAACCGGATGCTCGCTTGTCATTAATCCTGTCAGTAACTGTGAGTAGGAAGTATTATCGCAGGATATTAAAATCCGCTGGTTTCTCTGGGATTTCCCTAAACAGAACATGCCACTATAGAATCAATGACTAAGTACCATTCAAGTACATAGGCTTTGCCAGACAAAGAGAGAGTTTCCAGGTTGCCACTGGAAGACAGACTACAGCAAGTTGCTAAAGCAGGAAGGCTCAGCAGCTGCAGGTTTCCAGGTAAAAAGTAAGTTATTTCAAGGGCTTTGCAAAATTTGACCCGCTTCAAATTCCAAAAGGGATTTGATGAAACCTACAGTTAAAGGAAATAAATAAAAATAAGTTGGTTCATAAGAAAGCAATTATACCCCCAAAATTATTTATTTTTAGAGATTTTATTTATTTATTTTTAGGAAGAGGGGAAGGCAGGGAGACAGGGAGAGAAATATCAATGTCTCGGGGACCCCCTACTGGGGACCTGACCCGCAACACAGGTGTATGTCCTGACTGGGAACCAAACCAGCGACTATTTGGTTCACAGGCTGGTGCTTAATCCACTGAGCCATACCAGCCAGGGCCCCCCAAAATTATGTCACAGGTGGGCACAGATAACCAGGTTCTTGGTGATCGTGGACAAAGAGCTGAACCAAACACACAGAGTTTATAGCAGAGAGAGCAGATTTTCTAAGTGATACTACACTCCACAGAACATGGGAGCAGGCCATCTCCGAGCAAAGATTGACCTCAGGGGCTGCAGGGATTCTATTCTTATAGGGTGGATCCTTCCTGGCTAGTTTCGGCGGGCTCTTACTGTGCATGGACAAGTAGTTGTATTACATTAAAGCTACTGTGCATGTGATCTCCCATGATTTTCCTTGATTGGCCACGAGAGAAGGGGGTCACACAATGTTAATTTATTACAATGAAGCAGGGGTCATGTAGCATCTTCTGTGAAGGTGCATGCATGAGTCACCATGATTCAGGGCTTTTCCAGAAAGCTGAAACAACTGGTCTTAGGACAGGGTCTCTGTCCTTTATCGATGTCCTTTATCTTAGAGAGTTTCCTCCTTCCCGACTATCTCCTGTCTCAACTCTCCCCCTGAGAGACCTGGTTCTCTAAAATCTTTGTGGGGTTGTTGAAGGGCGAAGAGAAGATCATTCTCCTGTAACTTTTCTGGCTTAGACTGGGCAGTGGACCCGGCCTAACAAGAACCACGAAACTCTCGCCCTATTCTGTTTAGAGGTTGAAGAGGGGCTCCTGAGGCCACTGCAGATGCTGGATGTTGGTCAGCTCCACATCACTGTCAGGGATTGGCTGGGAACTCTGGAGCATCATCAGTTTGGTGTGGAACTGTGTAAGTCTAGAAGATAAAAATTTAACAAGCAAATTAAACAAACACGGTCCTAAAAGTAATAAGAACAGCAGTGTTATTAAGTGACCTACGACGGGTAATAGCCACATTAAGCCAGGAGGCCAGGAGGCCAGGAGGCCAGGAGGCCAGGAGGCCAGGGTATCCCTAATTCCTTGGCCCTGTTGATCATATTTATGTAGCCACTCTGCCTGTTCATCAATTTTCCTTATGTTAGTTTCAACCATTCTGGAGTTATTTACATAGGTGCAGCAGGTTTGACTGATAACAGTGCATAACCCCTTGTACCTGACGTGGAGTTAAGACCTCTAACTTCTGTCCGAGAGTTAGTTTAACAGCTTCCTTGGTTCCCATCGCTGTGGCTGCAACTGCTTTTAGACACAGAGGCCACCCGGTTGCTAAAGTGTCCAGTTTTTTACAGAAATATGCAACTGGTTGAGGTTCATTTGCTAGTCATTGGACTAGACCGCTAAAGCTATTCTGTCCTTCTCTGCTATGTATAGAGAGAAAGGTTTGTTCAAGTTAGCGATGCCTAAGGCTGGGGCTTCGACGAGGGCCTGCTTGATTTTATGAAAAGCCTGGTCACATTCCTTTCCCCAAATAATGGGTTTGGTGTCTGGCCCCTTAGTAGTTTTGTACAAAGTTTGGCAATTAATCCAAATTGGGGATCCAAACCCTACAGAATCCTGCCATTCCTAAAAGGGAGCAAAGCTGCTGTTCAGTAGCAGGTGGAATAATGCAGTAATGAATTTAATTTTCTCCTATAACTGCCTACACCCAGGAGTCAAAATATACCCTAAATAATTTACTTTTTGTTTGATAATCTGAGCCTCCTCTTTGATACCCGATATCCTCTTTCAGCTGGGAAATTCAGAGTCTGGATGGTATTTTGATCGGAAGCCTCGGTGGTGGGGCTGCAGATTAGAATGTCATCTATCTATTGTAAAACGGCTCCTCCTTGTAACTGTGGCTCTCTAAGGTCCTTTTCTAATACCCTAGCACAGAGGTGGGGACTGTCCCTGAAGCCTTGAGGCAATACAGTCCAAGTATATTGCTGATGTGGCATCGTCTTTGGATCAGTCCACTCGGAAGCAAACAGATGCTGAGAGTCAGGGTGCAAAGGGAGGCAGAAGAAGGCATGTTTCAAATCTAACACGGAGTACCACTGAGCTCCATCAGGTACCTGCGAGAGCAAGGCGAAGGGTTAGCTAGTATTGCATGTAAAGGGACTGCTGCTTCACTGACTAACCTTAGGTCCTGGACCAGCCTGTACTCTCCCGTGGGTTTCATCACTGGTAAGACGGGAACGTTGCAAGGAGATCGACAAGGAACTATGAGCCCATGTTGTATAAATTTAGTTATGATGGGCCGTAACCCCTCCAAAGCTTCTCATTTAATAGGATACTGCTTCCTGTGAGGACAGTCTGACCTGGGTTTTAATTGGATTTCAACTGGTAATACAGTCTTTGCTCTTCCCAGAATCCCTGACTCCCAAATTAGTGGGTTTACTGCATCCAGAACTGAACTTTGGATTTCCTCCTGGTTTCAGTTATTACTGATGGTCATGACCTTACTTAACTCAAGCGGCTGTTCCAGGAACAATGAAATGGTTCCCATACAGGCTGAAAGGTCCCAGCTGAGCAGAGGAACAGGGCACTGAGGACAATCAAAAAGGAGTGTTTGAATAGTTGACTCTCAAATTGGTAAGTGACAGGGACTGTATAGAAATCGTCCTTAAGGTTTCCTTCGACTCCCATTATCTTAGCTGATTTGAAGGAAAGAGGTCCAGAGTAAGAGTTGAGGACAGATTAAGAGTCAAGAAGTATCAAAAAGATCAAGTATCAACAAGAAAGTTGATTGTCTTACCTGCCACATCCAGAGTTACCTGGGGCTCCTCGGTAGAGATGGGAATGTGAGTATTCCCTGGGGCCGACATGTTTCCCGCGCACCCTCAGGCCTCGAGATTAGCTATGGCCTGGGGTGATGACCCCTTTCTACTCTGGGAATGGGGACAGTCTACCTTCCAGTGCCAGGGATCAGAACTGACGTTCTTGCATAGAGGACAGGGTCCTGGAGATGGTTGAGCGAAGTTCTTTGCCCAGTGCTTGCACTTATAACAGGTGTGATCCTTTCACCCCGATTCTTTTGAGGCCTCCCCGAGCTCCCCTGACGGGGCTGGTTTCTGCCAATAGCGCTCCGAAAGCCTAGTGCAAGGAGCTCTGCTTGCTTCTCCCTTTCCTTCTTTTCCTGCTTCCCTTCCTCCAAATCCATATTGCTAAAGACTGAAAAGACCACATCCATGAGCTGGTCTAGGGGGGGTCTGTGGGCTCATTTCTGAAGCTTCCTGCAGATATCAGGGGCAGACTGACTTATAAAATGCTGTCCTATCAAGAGTCAACTCTCCAGGGATGATGGATCCAAGTTTGTATATTTTCAGAAGGCTTCTACTAGTCTGTTTCTGAAGAGAACTGGGTTCTCTTCCTTGCCCTGGGTGATTTCCCTAATCTTCATGTAATTTACAGGTTTCTTGGTGCCGTTTCCCATTCCTGCCAGTAGGCAATCTATCACTGCGTCCCTACTCTGGGTTCCCCGCCTGAGTTTTGTATCCCCAGTCCGGATCCTGGTCCGGGACGGGTTGGGCGTCAGGCTGGTCAGTGCGGGGGTTCTGGGTGTGCAGCTGGTCTGCAGGTTTATGGGCCTTCTCCCAGATTTGCTGTTTCTCATCTGGGGAGCAGCAGGTGGTCAGAATTATGTACAAATCCCTCCATGATATACTAAAGGCTAAAGTAAGGGTCTGGAAATCACTAGTGAAACTTGAAGGATCCTCTGAAGAACTCTGTAGCCTGTCTTTTCATTGTTGTAAATCAGTTACAGAGAAGGGCACTTGTACCCTTATCGTGCCTTCACAGCCCACTACCTCCCTCACAGGTGGGAGTGTTGGAATGAGGGGGAGATAAGATGCGCCACTCCTAGTCTGTCCTGCGGTGCTGAGCTTTTCCTCAGCTTGTAGCTTTAGGTTGTTTGTAGCATAAGGTGGTAGAGAGGTCGATCCCTCTAAGGTAGGGGCAAAAATTTCTGAACTCTGGGGTTCCTTTAATCTCCCTTGAGAGACAGGTGGGTATCTTTTCATTGATCAGCACTTGGGCCCCTAGGTTCTGTCAGGGTAGGGCTGTAGCAAAATGAGGGATCTGGGTACAGGGCCAGAAGTTCCTGCATGTAAGGAATTTCAGACCATTTGCCATCCCTCCAGCAGAACAGATCTAACTGTAGGGTAGCATGATAATTTCTGCTCCCATTTTCAGGCCACGTCTCTTCATCCCCTAATTTATATTGGGGCCAAAAGGTGTTACAAAAGAAAACTAATCTCTTCTTTTTAAAATATTTAGGGTTAAATTGATCCCAATTACTCACAGTGCAACCCAGGCAATTGGGAAGGGAAGGAAGGTGTGGTTTCTATTGATACTACGGTGATCCTAAAGAGCAGGAAAAGAACACAGAGAGACTCCCGTGCAGCCTAGAGGCGCCTCTCTTAGCTTGCCTCGGGAGCTTTCCTAGGGGGCCACAGGGCGTCTACCAGGCATCTCTGGTGAAAGAAATGCTAGTGAGTGTCCGCTGACAGAAATCTAAAAGACGTAAGAGGATCATCACCGTCTAGTTTTACTTCTTTTTCTATGTTTAATTCAGAGGTTTTGAGTTCTCTGGACACTATTTGCATAATTCTTGGTCCTACTGAGTGTCCAGGCTGCAAAGAACTGTTGGGAAGGAACCAGTCCAGCATCCTTGAGCAACTGCCTATAATCCTGACGACCCCAAACCCACTGCTCGACCCAGGTGGCCTGAGTATGTTTCCATTCCTGTATTCTCCATCTACGGAGACCCTCATCTTCCTGTTAGCCTTCAGGTCTGGGGCAAAGGAAGTATCTTACTACCAAAATAGTTTCTGGCCCCGTAAACCACCAAGAGGGGCACCAAGACGATATTATTATGAAATGACTCCTTTCCAAATCACAAAGATATTGTGATATCACCTCAGGTATTCTATCTAGTTTTTCCAGAGCTTTGAGAAATTGTACCTGATTCTGAAATTTCCCCAGAAGGGACCTTAAGAGGTATGGCAAGGCGCCCTTCACACTGGAGGTGGATCTCATAGAGGGATGATGGACTGAGAGGGGAAACTAAAGTACCCCCATAGGGGCAAATAAACCACCTTAGAATTCCAAATTCAGCTGATTGGGTAAGAGTGTCTCTACATGGCCATTCTGGTAACAAATGACCACCAGGCACCTGTTAAGTAGCTCTGGCAGATGTTGCCATTTACAGTGATAGCATATACAGGCCAGAGATGGGAGTGACTCATTCCTGCAACTATACTTAGCGATGGGACTATTAGTGACCCAAAGATAGATATTCTGGGTACAAAGACAGCAGGAACCTACACAAAAGGCAAGTGGGGTACGAGTACAGGTATAAAGGCTAAAAGTCAGTCGGGAAAGACAAGCATAAAAGACTCTCCGTGAGCTTGATGAGGAGACTGCAAAAGGAAGTCATAGTGCAGCCCCGTGATGACTGATACCCAGTAAGGAAGGTCAAACTATGCCTGCGAGGGAGTGGCCTCGGGGTGGGGCAGTGTCTTGTGGTTTTCACAGTGAGCCTGACCGGTGTGCAGACATTTTCTTGCACCTGGTGGGGGCTAAGGCTACCCCGTTTTGCTCCCAGGTTCGCTTATCACAGGTGTCTTCCAGCAATGGGTGTCCTTGCAGCTTTTGAATGCTTGACGTGCACCTGCAGTTTAGCGGCCGACCTTCCATCAGGGAACATCAGACTCACCAAAATGGAATAAGTGGAAATAGAAAGGGGCATCCCTGGGTGTCGGAGCAGCAAAGGGGGCTAACCACTCCAGCGTCTTCTCCTGGCTGGCTCGCCAAATCTGTCACAGGTGGGCACAGATAACCAGGTTCTTGGTAATTGTGGACAGAGAGCTGAAC